TGCGCAAATTTTTTAGAAAAAGTAACTTTTTGCACCTAAGTGTCTAAATTTTGATTGGACTATTAGATCATGTCCAAACTTATCTCATTAGTAAGTATACAAGCTAAGCTTTGTATGGGTGCTTGAATTACTCCAATCGAATATCGTATGTGAAAATAGTGTACACTAGAAGTTTGTCATTTTTGCTGTCAAAATGATAGTAGAAATTTAGACAGGCGCGCCGTGGCACATAGTGACACATGCCGCAGCGCACAGCATAGAAAGGGTGAGCGTGTGGCTTTGTGCCACATGCCACAGTGCACAGACTTTACCCTACGGTGCACAAACTATTTCTTAATTTCATTTTGTGATGAAATACATGTTATTAGGATATGAATGCTGGTGGGTTATGTCCACTATATATTAGAGGAGTGTATGATTTACTTCTCCTGTATTTTCTCTGATTGTATTGTGAATTGAATGATTTTGCAAAATAAGTCTTCGGCTGAAGCTTTTGAAATGAAATTTGATTATGATTGATGTGAGGCAGTGGTAACACCGTAATCTTCTCATATATGAAATAGATATAGGGAAGGTTACACCAAACGATCATGCAATATATTATGTTCACTCACACATGCACATAACTTGTAATTCATGATAACAAACTTATTATTCTCAATCATATAATCAAATGAAACATGCGAACAACATAAATATTTTCATAATTACTCCATCTTTCAAAACTCTCATATTCATACATATTTTTCACTTTACTAAATCATCACATTAACACATTTATCAAAGCAACTTGTCAACTTCTCATTTCTACACATACTTGTAATATATACCCATTTCAAGTTCTAACTCTGCAATTATAGCTAAACAAATGTTAATGAAAACCTCATACAATTATGGCATGTATTAACAAACACAATGTCAATCATTCATATAAATGAATCCATTGTCAAATTACATTTTGAATTAACATACAACTACATAAAAATAGATTTCTACCGATTACCTATAACCTTTAAAAAGTCAAAGGTTTACCCCTAAATAACTTGCTTCCAAGCTTGCTTCCCAAGCCAAATATAGTGCCCGAACGATTAATCTACAATTAATCAAGTCTTAACTCAATTAACATTGCCAAATATACACTTCTAACTCTCATTTCCACTTCTAAAATACCAAATACTCTTATTTCTCACATTTAGGCTTATCTATTGGGTATATTAACTTTCTTTAGCTCCCATTAGCTTCATTAATTGTTTCTAGAGTCATTAATATCTCAACAACCCTTATAAATTCAAATTTAATGCCTATTTTCAAACATTAATGAGGCTCACTAACCAAAAAATCATAAAACCCTCAATCATTAGTTTAAATACTTAAACCAACTCCTATTAACTCAATTTGAGTTAATAAATTTGGACCAATAACCTATATAGACTGAAAATTATCTCTCATTATCAAACCCTAACTAAAAACTTCAATAAAATGGGTTGGAAAGGATGAAGAACAAGTTAGGAGGCTTACCCTTAGGATTTAGTAGCTTAAAATGCTCTAATATCCCTCTAAAAGCAAACCCTATTAAAGCTCAAACTCTCTCCTTTTCCTTCTTTTGTTTTCTGTCTTTCCTTTCTATGTTTTTCAAGTTAGTTCACATCTCTTTTTCTACAAAAAATGCACTGTAAGCTGCGGTGCCTATACCATGCATCGTGACATGTGATACAGAGAGGTGAACTTTACATTCTGGTGGCTTACGTGCTACGGCATGCCGTGCATAAAGCCCTTTCTGTTTATTTTTCTCACCTTTTGATGTTTAGGTGGCTCGACTTTACTCCAAACTCAATTCTAGGGTTGAAATCACAACCCAAAACATCTGTTAGCTTCTGTAACTACACATTACATAAATTTACTTAATTACCCTCATTTACTTAGCTAATTTGGGATTAAATTTTCCCAAATGTTACAACAGCCACTTGCAATCAAGATCAGATGGATGGATCTTACCATGATTAGGTTCAACTACTTCAACTGAGACAGGCGACCCTGATTGGGACTAGACTATTGAAACTGACCAAGACAAGATTGTCAGTGTTAATTAAGACTGGACAATCAATGGTCTGTTCTCAGTTGAGGTCATTTATCCTATCCCATCATAGTGAGAGCTAGCCATTAGATCCCAGTCGTAAGCTATTGTTTGGTCTTAGTTACCACTAACAGTCTTGTCTTGTTTGGTGCATGAGGTCCTATCCTTATCGGTGTTAGTGGTTTGGTCTTAGTGGAAGTCAACCATTCGGTACTGGTAAGTGCCAATGGGTTAATCCTAATTGTCACTTGCACTCCAATCCTGATTGGCGTTGACAGTCTGGTCCAAGTTGGTATCGATGGTTTGGTCTTGGTCAAGGTCACCAATCTCATCTCGATTGAAGTCATCGGTCTAGTCATAGTGGGATTTGGCCTTCCGGACTCGGTTGGGGGTGGTGGCCCGATCTCAAGAGGTGCTGGCAACGATCTAGTCCTCGTTAGCTCCAGTGGTCTTATCCTAGTCAGTGTTAGCGGTTTCGTCCCAGTAGAAGTTGGCCCTTCAGTCCCAATCATCACCTATACTTTAGTCTCGATCAGCATCGATAGCTCGGTCCCAGTTATTATCCACACTTCAGTCCTGATCATCATTAGCGATTTGGTCTTGATGGAAGTCAACCATCCGATCCTGATTGGCATTGGCGGTTAGATCCTGGTTTGCAGTGATGGCCGTTCGATCCTGGTTGTCACTGACAATCTGGTCCTATTCAGCACCGCTAATGGGTTAATCAAATTACAAAGAGATTGAAGTAGGATTTGAAATAATATGAGTTTAAAAAAGATTTCAAATTACAAAGATTGAGGTAGAAGTTGGATTTGGACTTGGGTCATATCCATTCCATATATTTTTAATTTCCCAAACAATGAATTTAGCTCAAATTGAAATTCAAATTCAAATCCTTATATATCCAAACATAGCATAAAATTATTCAATGCTAATGGGAAAGATGAAATCTTCACCAATTTAATAATATTTATATTGGGAAGGAAATTACTAAAAATTTTATCGTTGATATAATAATTAATTATTTTTATGTTATGAAAAATTGATGAGAAAAACTTAAAAACAAAGGTATATATGTATTTTTGTTATATGTGTGTGTGTGTAAAATTGAATATAAATATATACATTAAAATATTTATGTTATGTTAGTAATATAAGTAGATTTAATATTCTTTCAATTATTATATATCCTTTGTTATCTTGGCCCTCTTTAATAAAATTTTCTGACTCCACCCTTATATATGTATATATATTTAGTGTCCATATATATATATATATATATATATAGAGAGAGAGAGAGAGAGAGAGAGAGAGAGAGGATGTTGTGATCTAAAGCTATGCTTTTATGAAATATTTTCAGTACTATCCACCAATCTCTCGTCTCTCTCTCTGCTTTTTCTCTATTCCTATTTCTCCCTTCCCTTCCTAGCCACTACACAACATAATCACACCTCAAAACAAATTAAAGGCATTAAATCCAATTAAAGATGACAATAAGCGCTAGCTCATTAATTAATATAATCATTAATTACCACACTCACAACCCAAGCACGTGGGCAATGCAGAATCAATATAATGGCCACTTAATACAATATGATTTTCGTGGGATTTTATCTTCCAAACCAACATTACTCAAACAATATCATACACAGTTTAATGCATGCATGGCAGAACCTGCGATCAGCTAATTGATTCGCAATCTTAATAATTGATTCAACTCATGCTGACTCGGAGCATGCATGCATAATGCAAACTCTATCAATTATCAATTAATAACTATCAAAGCTCATATCAAGAAAGTAATAATTATGGGCTTACATTATTCAAATCGGTGACACTCAAATCAAATTTGATAATCGACCAAAATCTAAGGGAGTTATAATAGCAAAGAAATTTTGAGGTAGAGTGGGTGCACTACGTCATTTGTATTTTGTCTAATAAAAACATGACATTTAAATAAGATTAAATATAAATTGATTCTAACATTAATGAAAGTAGAGGAAGAAAATGCAATAAATTAAATATGCATTCTATTATAAAAATAAAATTAATTAAAATAATATCATATAAAATTTTATTTAGATGTTTTGGGGCATTTTAATTGCACAGATTACAAATGAGAAAACACACTTGGATTACCTAAAAATTTCTCGTAGCAGCAAATGGAATACTCAAATCAAATTATGTATTTTTTACGCGTAATTAATTATTTCATCAAACCAAAAAAATTAGTTATTTGTAAATTTTATTATATATATGAATTTAAATTAAGTTGAAAATTATATCAATTTATTTCTTTATCTATATTTATCAATTAGTAAAAATAAAATATTCATCATGTATATATTAAATATATTTGTGTAAAGAATAATGAAATTCCAATCAATTTCACGAGTTCATATTTTGGCCACTCAAAGGATGCACATTAATTATACCATAAATACAGAGTTTACTAGTTACAATTACTTGGAAAATAAGTTTCTATACATCTATACATATACGGAAAGAAAAATGAGTTTCCTAATTTTTAGAAGGGCAAGACTTAAGTACTTAATCTTATATACTTAATATATTTGTATCCAATCAAATCAAAACAAGTGAATTTTAATTTGTTAATAATATTAATAATAGAATTTTTTTAAGAAATAAATAATTTATAAAAATATATATACTTCTTGATTTAATTGGAAATAAGCAATTTAAGGATATAAGGTAAAGTATATAAGTTTTTCTTTTTAATAATATTTCTCTCGATTAATAGAATTCTACAAGGGGAAAGAAATAGATTTCTCAGATCCTCATCGTGCAAGGTGAATAATTAATAATTATTGCTTGGAAAGTAAGTTTATGTCTGTCTATATAAGAAAGCATTAATCTCCATTGCAAGTTCACTATCTCATTGTTCTCAAAACTTGATTAATTTCTGATGGCAAGTTCACTTTCACTAGAGCTCTACAGCGATCCATGGGGAATCAAAAAGGTTCTCACAGACTCTGATACTTCACACAACAACATGCTTATATTATATGGATGTCAAGTTGAAGTGATGGTGCTGCCTGAGTTAAGTGAAGATGCTGCAAACGATGCTCAAACCGATGATGGAACTGAAGTCAAATTCTGGGACATCGATACCGAATCTCTGCACGAACTGGTTTTGAAGCGAAAGAGCAGTTATATCCTCACAGGAAATTGGAATGAAGATTTTATCAGAAGAAGGAATCTGAATGCTAGAGATGAAATAGGGCTTGAATGGGATCCCTACAATAATCGCTTCAATTTTAGTGTTCTTATGCGTGCTTGATCAATATTTATTATATAGAGAATGATACATTGGTTCTAAAATTTCAATTCAATAAAACAATTAAGTGGCAAAAAATTTTGTTGAAAGATGATATTGCAAATATTGCAGAAGAGATTGCAAATATAAGAGTTTTAGTTATGAGATTTAAATGTTTTATTTGAAAGTAAAGCTCTTATATTTACAATTATTTTCGTCAATATTTACAATTAATCTTTTAACAAAAGTTTTTGGGATTTAATTGCTGTTTAGTTAATCTTTAATTTTAGGACGTAAATAATTAGCAGCATACTCTTTGTTAGTTGATCTTGCACTTTTAATTATTGTTTTGTTACTCTAATTTGGATTTGTATTACTTTGATTTAGAACTGATAATTTGAGCTAAGCTTGACGGGTCAGCTTCCCAAAAAAATAATATTTTTGCCCGAATAGGCCTAAAAAAATTTGGGTCAAGCCCAATCAGGTTAGGTTTGGCCCGAATATCCAAATTAAAAAAATGATATTTTTAATAAATACATAAAATATAATAAATATTAATTAATTATTTAAGTTTTATGCCATTTCCATATATTTCAATGCATTATTATAGTTATTTTTTAAAAAAATTAAAAAAAATCTCAAAATAATATTTATAATATATTTTAATACTAATTTTTATATTTTAATACCCAATTATTTTTTAAGAAAAGTTGAGTCCTATACATAATTTGAGTATCTAAAAAAAATATTTTATATTTGTATAAAATAAGATAATTAATTTTAAAGTAAAATTTAAATTAAAAATAATTTAAAAATAAAATTCAATCATGTAGAAATTTTCAGCGCTACTACTAAATAAACATAATAAATAGAATAATATTATTGAATAATTATTTAGTTACCATGCCAAATTTGGTTAAAATTAAGAATAAACTAGAGTAAATACTCCTTATATGCAAGGGTTAAACAATATAAAATGTTAACAAAAAATTCAAAAAAAAGTATTTTACTCATAATTAAATGATTTTGTTTTATATATTATAATTATGGTTATTTTTCTCATATTCTTAAAAATGAAAGGTATGGTTTACGCAAAAGTTATTAAAAACTTTGAACTAATCGAGGTAATAATTTTAAGTTAGAGCTTTTAACCACGATTGAATTGAGATTAACTTGTTCAAAATTAAAATAATATAATTAAATTAAATTAAAATATATAAAATATTTATATATGACCATGATAAAAGAAATATTTAAATAAATAAAATATTAATTTATAAGTAAAGAAAACATTTATGAATAAATTATACATAATACAAAAATAATAACAAAATTACTTAAGTACAAAGTTGATAAGTTATTATTTTTTATTTTATTTTTTTAAAGTTAAAATAATATTTTATACTTAACAGAATTATTTAAAATTAAAATTGGTTCCAAAAATAAAAATATTTTTAAAAAGTTTCAGGTATTCGTGCCTACCTGAATAAGCTTGAAGCCTGATAGCATTGAGCTTGGCTATATGAACTTTTTAGAAATGGTGTGATACTTTAAACCCAGTCTGAATAAGCTTGATCCACCTGAATTGCCGGCTTTACTTTCATTTGTAGATTTGCTCAAGTTTTTTTTTTTAATCTTTTAACAAGTAGTCAAGTTCTAGAGTACTATGCTCTACACATAAAGCCATAAAAGCAGCATTAATGACTAATCATTATTAATTATCTTTCAATTGTGATTAATTTGTATGTTAGTGAATTGGAAATTTATTTATTTATTTTTATTTTTATTTTGGTATATTTATCATTTATTTATTATTAATTGATTATTAAGCCATTTTGTTTTTTTGTTTTTTGTGATTTGAGTATAATAGTTGATAGTTGACAGTTGATTGGTTTTATTAATGTGAATTAATATTTATGTCTTGGGCTACTTGTCAAAATTTACTGATATTCTTTCTAAGACTTCTCTTTTTAAGTTGTACTCTAGATTTAAACAATTTTGTATTCTCTTATTTCCTTGTGCTTTGATTTTTTTTAATACAATTAGATATTTATTTGTTTGAGTAAGGGAAGGAGAAGGACACTACATCTCAATTCAAAATATCAAAGCTCGAGTTTACAAGTTCTTCCTTTTTAATATATATTAGTTATTTAACTTAACTTTATTTGATATATTTGGACAACTTAATAATCTTCCTCTCAAGTTTGACAAAGTTATTGCACTAGCAATCAAAGTTAGCCTAAGGTTTTGGGCTTTAAATGGTGTAAGGCACATAAATAGTTGCTGCAATGAAGGCTAGTCTTATTTTGAGCTTCAAATGTATGCATAACAATGAGCTTATAAGTCTTGGGTAAAATTTAGCTTTGATATCACTTGTTATGAATGAAAAGTGATCAGGAATGTTGGGATAGGAGTGATCAGGTAAGAGTAGAGGAAAAACATCACATTTTAATTCAAAACCTTAAGATTTAAGCTTATAGATCATTTTTCTTTATTTTATATTAGTTATTAAGTCTAATTTTATTTGATCCCACATCATTTTAAGTTTGCTTGTACATGGATAACCTAACAATCTCTCCTTCAAATGTAAGTCCACAAGCTCTCATATAAAAAATACCCTGAGCACCAAGTCCCTATTTTAGGTTAGGCCCGCTTTTTTTTAGATGGTATGACACACATAAATCCCTATTTCAATTAGAGCTAATCATATTTTTAGGCTTCAAATGTGTGTATAATAACAAGTTTTCAAGTCACGGCAAAACTTGATTTGATATCATTTCTTAGGAATGGAAACCAATTGATAAAAAATGGGGAGAGAGTAGAAACCTAAGGCCCCCCTTGGACCTATCATAGTAAATATGTTAGGCAGAATTAAAAGCATAATTAATTATATTAATTTTGATTAAAAATTTAGCTATTGAACTAAATGTTAATTAAAAAATTAAATAAATATGTCTAAATTTAGACACAATTAAAAGCATAAAAAATAATATGAATTTTAATTAAAAATTTAAATATTGAAATAAATTTTTATTAATTTTAATTAAAAAAATTAAATAAATGTGTCTGAAGACATTTACAGCAATAGGCCACCCTTGGACCTATCGCCCTAGATGTAACATTCGGAGTTTTTAATATGGAACTAAATGTTAATTAAAGGAGAAATTATTTAATTAAAGCTTGAGTTTTTGGACCATTTCTCTTTATTATATATTAATTATTAAGTTTAATTTTATCCAATGTGATACTCATATCGTCTCTGTTCACTCAAACTTAAACAACTTAATAATTTTCAGCCTAATCACTTGAATTAGGTCCAATCCTTAAAATCATAATTGAGAAGTTTTACTAAGAACACAAGCTCAAGTGAGTGCTTATTATCTAAGTATAACACAAGACTGCATCAGCCTTGATTTCAACAATTAGACACTTACAACACTTGGAAGTAGTAAAGAACTTGGAAATTTTTTTTTCTAAGATTTCATAAATGTGTGAAAGCTTTCTAATAACTCTCAAAGGAGTAGTTATAAACACAATAAAAGCTTATAAACTAGTAAAAAATTGAGAGATGTTTGAAAACTTTGACTTAGTTGGTAAACATTGAATGCAATCATTAAATATTTTACCCATTCACTTAAATGAAAGTGTTTGGATGATTATAATTGTTAGACATCTCAATTAGGAATTAGCCATTTGTGAATGTTACATTATTGAAACTATGCAAAAGTACTTTTGCGACCTGAGTGCTTGTAAGCATAAACAAGAAGTTTCAATTAGAAGGTTATTTTGGACTATTGGAAAGGAGCTAAAAGAATATTTTAAAAAGAACTCAAGATAAGTAAATGAGAGAAATTCTAACAATCAAGGAATTTTTTGAAATTTACCTATATCCAGTTATTATTATTATTATTATTATTATTATATATATATATATATATATAATTTAATAGATGATCTATTACAGTAGGTGGGGACACATGAATGCTCTAAAAAATTATGTGACGCCTAGGGATATGAAGGAAAAGAAAGACAAAGTTAGCATGGATTAGGAAGAACGGTAACTGTATTGAAAGCATCCCAATTATATTCCTGGTGTATCAAATTAATATTTCATGAAGACGAACTCAAATTATGTGGTATAAAGCAATGGATGAACCAAAGTTAAGGGTTAAACTTGAATGTCAATGAAGGATCAAAATTTAGTTTTATTACTCATAGCCATGCAAATTTGACTAGATCTTAAAACCAAATAATAATTTGACGTCTAAGTGGGAATTTGTGATGTTAAGTGATGACATGTCAATTTTGTATAAGCATCATTTTCCTTCAAGAAAATATGTGCGCGTATCAAATCACGGTAAAATAACTTTTCAATCTCAAAGTTAGAGATATATGTAATACTTGGTCAAGTATGAGGCATATATAAAGGGAAATAAAGTGTGATTTTCTCCCACTAATGTACATCTAATAAATTGGGTGAATAGAAGATGAATCATTGGATTACGTGTTGATTAATAAGATCTGAAATGCTTGCTGGTGTAATAAGTGGCAACATTTCCTCAAGAGTTTACAAAGAGATTAAATGGTACAAGTGTCAATTGTTACATTATCCACCAACTAACTGTAGATATATTATAATCGTTTTTTTAAGCTAAGTGTCTTAGCATAGTAGATAGATATATTAGGTGATGGGGGTAATTGGAAGGCCGTGGTTCTTTTATTCCATTAATTGCCTTTGTTTTTATCTTATTTACATAAGTTAAGGTGACTAAGCACTTCAAGCGGTGAACCATTATATTAGGTGTCAACATTTTGAATTAATAAAGTGAGCCTTTGGATTATGTGGCAATAGAAGAGATTGCTAGAGAAGAAATTATATTAGATGGCACGAATAAAGAATTCCATTGAAAGATAATGAGAAAGGTGGCAGCATTGAGAATTTAGTTGAACAAAATTTAGCTTCGGTGGTGATTTATTAGTGCTATAAATACCCACCACTTAATACCCACTCTTCTTCAAGACAT